GACAGTCTGAAGTGAGTCTGAGTCAAACTGGGGACAAATCACTTCATGTTAGCCCACAGAGCTAACAGCTAGCGTTACCTTTCACAACGACAGTCCAGGCAAACTCGACTCTGGGACTCGGTAGGAAGGTGAATAGAAACAGAGTCCCTCCGTCTAGAGCCACAGCCACAGAGGAGAGTCTGTCTCCGTGTTTTAATAAAGCACTTTAGTGGTTTAAGTTATGTTTAAATTGAATCCTCCGTTAATCGCCGCCTGCTAACGTTTGTAGTCCGCCGACGACGATGAAGTACTTCCGGTGCCAGGTTCAGAATGCGCATGCGTGGTAAGATCTGAAGCGCTTAATTTGTAATACAGCGTCTCCCGTTTCACCAGCGAGACGTGCGGCACATGGCGATTCAACTTGTATCTTTTAACTACAATTTAAAAAAAAAAAAAAAAAAAACTATTTTATTTTAAGTCTGTGTATACATTTATTCTACACGTGCTTTGGCAACGTAAACGTCTGTTTCCATGCCAAATAAAGCCTCTTTGAACGTGAGAATGTAGCTGATTGATCACTCCGCCGGCGGTGTAAACACAAAACGAGTCGACCTCACTTCTCGGAGCAAAACGAGCACCGACAGCGGTGCTATAGCCAGCTAGCTTTCATTTAGCAAAAATCTTTACTAAAAGGCGTTTTGTCATGGCGGAGGGAAGCGGCAACGTTAACGCCGGTGCGGCGAACCTGCCTGCGGGAGACCCGCAACTTATCGGGATGATTGTGGAGCATCTGAAGAACCGGGGACTGTTTGACGAGTTCCGTCGGGACTGTCTTGCCGACGTCGATACGAAGGTAACATGATCAGCTAACTAACGCTGGCTTCCTCTGCGGGTCAGCTGGTCTTGATGGACCTTCTTTAAAATGGCATTTCAGCTCTTAACCTGTTGTTTTTATCTCAGGGTAAAGTTAACAAGGTGTTGTTTTCGCTGCTGCTACTATAAACCACCCGTTCACGGAGTGCTGCGCTTTGTTTGTTTGTTTGTTTGTTTGTGTGCTGTGAGCGACTTCTCATCGCTGTCACTGTCATTGCTCCCAGCCTGCCTATCAGAACCTGCGACAGAAAGTGGACAACTTCGTCACGTCTCAGCTGAGCACACAGGACTGGAACCCGTCCATCAACAAGAACCAGATGAGGAACGGGCTGAGGCAGAGTGTCGTGCAGTGAGTGGTCGCTATCACACTGTGCACACACTGTTGAAGGAGTAACTAACACTGTCACATGTACAGATTGTTTATGAATTCAGGATTTATTTATGTATCTATCTTAGGCAGTCCACAGTCTAGAGTTTATGATTTCATAGCTGTCGTTTGCTGTGACATATAAAAAGTGAAATCCAGTTATTGTGCCACTTTGTTCCATTAAAGAGGTTCTTTAGATATCTAAATATAATTGGAGGACTCCCAAGAGACAGAGTCAGAATTAGAGCTACAACTAATGGCTGTTTTCATTATCAATTAATCAGCCAGTTGAAATGAAACAGTACAAACATCCCTCATATCTTCCTCAAGCCTAGTGTGATGTCTTCAGATGTCTTGTTTAGTCTGACCAAACCCCCGAAATATTCAATTTACAGTCATATAAGACACATTGGAGTCCCCTTCAGTGGTGATCACACTGAAAGGAGTTTCATTATAGTTTCCATTCAAGTAAAAAGGTAAATTTATGGTGATAATAACAGCGTCTCTTCCCGTCAAACCCCTTTAGGCCTTCTTCCACTCCTGTTTCTTCAGCTCTCCTTCATTAACTTCTGTTTGTGTTGTGTTTGTTAGATCGGGTATGCTGGAGTCCGGTGTGGACAGGATCATCACTCAGGTCGTGGACCCCAAGATGAACCACACTTTCCGGCCGCACATAGAAACTGCCATCCACGACTTCCTGTCGGGGGACAGGAGGGAGGAGAACCCCCAGAGCTGTAACTCTGCACCATGTGAACAAACAGAACCACAAGATGCCCCGTCTGCCTCGGGCCCCAAAACCCCCTGAGGTCCATTTTAAAAACTGAAGAACAGTCTAAAGTCAAGAACGATTCAGCTACATAGTTAAGAAACCTGTATTTTTTCTCTTGCTGCAGGTACACATGCTGGTGTTTGGTGGTCTACACATAATGTTGTGTGGCTGTGTTGGCCCTTTGAGAAGCTGCAGCATCAGACAAGAGGAGGATGTGTCCTGATGCCTCTGTTTAACAGACTGTAATCAGGAGTCCGGAGTGTTTCTGCATTCAAAATGTTCAGCATGAGATGTTGTTTCATTGCCCGTCTGTGCTGCACGAGGCCACTCCTGGAGAAGTTGGACAATGCCGAGTGGTGCACAGACACTGCACTGCACGGCTCTGCCTTTTGGAAAAACATGGCACAAACCTGGATTATTATTGAGTTTTTGTTTTGGGCTGTTTTTTAATGTGCGATATTGGACACATTTTTATTTTTGGACAATTGTATATTTTGTGATGCAGATTTTTCACTGTGTATAGACATTTCCCATTAATGTTGAATCACAATATGTTAAACTGATGATGGATGAAGGCGATGAGCTGATTAATTTCCAGTTAGGAGGATTAGAGGAAGAACATCCTGCAGTTTCTTTCTAAATACATTTGTTCAGTATCTCGAGGTCTTAATTTTTCATCACATCATGTAGGGTTTTCTTTTGGTGCATGTATTTAGTTGGTATGTAGTATTGACTGTGAGTCCTATGTGCTTTAGTAAACACAGCTGAGATCATGTTCCTCTCTGTCTTCTTCTTTTCACTTTGTACCCATTTGTAGTTTTCTATATGCAGTAACGTTCTCTGCTCCCTACGTCAAAAACAGAGCAGATCATGTAATCATAAAACCACCAGGTGGGGTAGTTGTTCTCAGTTGGGTATTTTGTCAGGAGTTGCATTGAGTGATGACTTACTCAAACCTTTTGCAAGGGCCGCAGAGACATTTCAGGGGGAAGTACACTCCAAATACTTGTGTTCATCCTGTTGGTTCATGTCTGTTTATATTATATTTATTTTATATTATATATATATTTTATTATATATATATATTATATTATATTATATATTATATATTATATATAGATATATATAGTATATTATATTATTATATATTTACTATATATATATATAATATTATTATATATATTTATGAATATATGTAAAAAGTATATATATAAATAAAAATATATATAAATAAAAAAAGAATATATAGATAAATAAAATATATATAAATATTAATAGGTATATACGATATTATATAAATATTAATATTATTAATATAAATATATATAATATTATATATACTATTAATTATTATAATATAATAGATAAGTATATGTATCTGTATATGTAATTATATTTATGTATAGTATATATATATGATAATATGTATCATGTAAAAATATATTATATAAATATGTATATGTATATTGTTTATATCTATGTATATGTATGTATAGTATATATATATATGTGTGATATATATATAGGTATATTTATTTATATATATGATTAGTGTTATATATATTATATGTGTGAGTATTTATATATGTGTATATGTGTATATATATATGGTTTATATGTGTGTATATATATATGTGTGTATATGTTTATATATATATGTGTATATTGTGTATGTTAGTTTATATGTGCTATATGTGTGATATATATATATGTGTTATATATATATGTGTATATGTTGTATATATATATATGTTTATATGTTTGATATATATATGTCTATATGTGTGTATATATATATATATGTCATATGTTGTATTTAATATATATATATTTGTATATGTGTTATATATAATATATTGTGTATATTAATATATAGTATAAGTGTGTATATATATATATATGTGTATAGGTTATATAATAGGTATATGGTGTTATATATATAGTGTCATAGTTGTATATATATATGTGTATATGTGGTATATATATATAATGTGTACATGTGTGTATATAGTATATGTGGTATATGTGTTATATATATATGTGTATATGTATATATATATATATATTATATGTGTATAGTGTGGTGTGTATATATGTGTATTATATGTGTATATGTATATATATATATATATATATATATATATACATATATGATTTGTTCAGTTTCCTTTTCAAAGACAAAACTCAAGTCCTTTCACTCTCAAAACCTCAACAAGTCAGTCCGTCAGTTTTGAGTGTTTTTGTGTGTGTGTGTGTGTGTCAGAGTTTGCGTAACTTTATTGATTTAGCTACTTGTTTTTGGCAGGAGACTGATCCACACGTTAACACAAATGTGTGTGTCAGAGTAAAGTCAGATGCACTTAAAGCATTGCAATAGTTTAATCATCTATTACAAGTAAATCAATTTCTTTCAGTTATTAATTTATTTATTTATTAATTTCCAAAAACTAATTTCTCTTTTTTATTTATTCAACGAGCTATTGAATATAATACAATGCTTTATATACATTCAAAGTATACCTGTGGTTCTCCATATAAGTTAAGCTAAATCACGTATCAGATCAAATCAAGTATCAGATTTTCTTAGTTGTCCCCAGTGGTGCTCAAAGCATTAAAAAATGCAATCAAATTGTATTTGAAAAACTCAACAGCAGCGTGTCTTTACAAAAATAAAGTCCTGGTAGGTCAAAACCTCAGCACATCAAACCTGAACTATCTGCATGTGTTTTTGTGTGAACTTACAAAAACAGCAATGTGGCCCTTTGATGTGGATTAAGTTCTGCATCCTGTAGTAAACTGAACACATGAGGGCAATTGATCTGTAATATGATCAACGATATAAACCCAAAGGTAACAGTAATGCTCCCTCAGATCAATTACCACAAAGCTGATACTTCTGAATTTATACTATATGCAGACAAACACACATACAGACATGTTGTTTACAACACGACCATGTGAGAGACAGAGTACAAGAGTGTCCTGCATGTGTACTGTTTGCTCAGTGGTGCCTGTGTACGTTTTGTGTGCCATTTTGGGCATGTGAGCGTGTGTGTTCGGTGTCGGGGTGAAGGGTCATTGTGTAGGTGGTCATCAGGGGTTGTGCCAGGGAAGCTGAGGGATGTTGTTTTGAAGCAGGATGAGACAGAGAACAAGCGGGAAAGGTCAGAAAAAAGTCCAAACATTAGTCCCCGTAAGAGAATGTCTTACCTAACTGGGCCCCTGCACACACACACACACACACACACACACACATAAACACACATAAACACACATAAACACACCCCGTCTTTCTACCTTGACCTCTCTCTATAGCACAAAACACTTGTCTCAGCCACGTATAGTGACAGCTCTCTTGGACGTAGGTTAGATAAACCCGAGGAGGCAGGAGAGCAAGGAGCGAGGGGTATTTGTTTGCCTCCTGTGGAGCTGCTGATGTCATGAGACTGTGGCCTGTACCTTTTGTGGATGTCAAGGGTCAGAGGTCATGGCTGTTGTGAGACAAAACATACAACCACAAAAACCAGGCTGCAAGATTTGATAAAGAAAAAAATAACTTGGTGACCTCAGCTTACACTACAAAGTTTTTTCTATCCCCTGCAATTTTGAGTTGCTACAAACAAACTTAACAAATATAGTGTGATCGACTGATTGACTGTAGCTCTGGCAGTCGTTGTTTTATCTGCTGAGGTTTGAGATATCTGTTGCTGAGAGTTCTGCTTCCTTCCCAATACAATGGAGGTGAATTTGTGTGAACAAACACTTTAAATTCACAGTTTACACATCAAAGATTAGTGGCAGTAACATTTTAAAAAGAGGCTGACCACATGCTAAACCACAATGATTTTATTTTATCACAGACATTTTGACCAGTTTTGGTGTTTTTCAAGACAAGAATAACCAAAATATCAGATACAGCCTCATATAATTTATACACTGCCTGGTGGCAACGTTAAAGTTAAACCTAATTATTCAGCATTTTAAAAGAAAAAGCTGAAAAATTTTAGATTTTTGTTCAGATATCCATAGTGCAGAGAGGATGAATTGTGACTTTTCACATGGCGGCATCCTGAGGTCAAAATTACAGACAGAACTAATGACCTCAGCCTCAGCTATGGGCTACTTTGTATTTAGTGCTAATGTTAGCATGCAAACTCTATAGCTAAAGATCAACCTTTTTACATTATATGCCAGAAAAAAACGTTTTTAGATTAGCGCATATCGAATGACATATACGCCGATACCTGTATGATACTCGTGTGTGTGATAGGCCGATATTAACCAACCAATATATCGGTTGAGCTCTATTTTTCCCAACCTGGAAACACAACATTTAGACTTAGTAAAGGCTTTTAACTGATCTGGATCCACAAAGCATTACCAGCTTATTAATTAACCATTGATAAAGCCGTTTGTTACAACTTATAAACCCTTTATAAACCGAGTCTTATTGGAAACTGGTGCCAGACGTTTTGTATAAGAATACTACAGACTTTATTTATATAAGCATGTCAGACAGACAAGATGTGAAAAATGTGAGTTTACAGGAATGTAGCACTCTAACAATTTGTAAAAAAAAAAAA